AAAAAAAAAATGTATCCTTGTATCTTTTTGGATGAGGTCATTTAAATGCTTCTGTGAATGCATCCTAGCATTAAATAGCCAGAGTCAAAATAGTTAAATAACATCTTCCTGTTTTAGACACAATTAAAATAAATATAACTTTAAGCATGTTTATGAAATCATCAAAGAAATTGAATGCATGTTTTTCTATTAGACTCAAAACTGACTCACAAATTTTAATTATGTATTAAGAATTTAAGTTTTATAATTAAAGTGCACTCAGTCATATATTTTACATGGCATGAGTGGAAATGAAGGAAAGGAATTAGAAGAATCATCATCAGAAGGAAAACACATGACTGAATAGGTCATGTCATAGCCAAGTTGGCAAAACTGTCTCAGTTTTGATACTTAATACAGGGTAATGGATGTGAAAGTTTGCATTCTTACTTAGTGACATGGGTGTATGAAAAATCAGAATTGGGGCCGGCCTGTGGCCAGATCCTACGTAGACGAACACGCACTCCAAATCCCAGCCCTAGCAGCTTGGAAAACACACCCAGTGAGAGCTAAGTCCTGACGGGGTGGAAGGATAGAAGAGAAGGTGTTGCAGTGTGACCACCATGTATGTCTCTTTCTGGAGAGCATGTGTACCCTCTGGGTAAAAAAAAAAAAAAAAAGAAAGAAAGAAAAAATCAAAATGACAACCAAGTCCACCAATAGAATCTCATCAATAGTAAAGGTAAGTTTTTTTTTTTTTAGAGATTTTTTGTATAAGGTGCACACACTCTCGAGAGAGACAGAAAAGCAAGAAATCACCCCCACCCCCAGGGGGGAATGGCCTTGCCACAATCCCTTCTCCATTCTCCTCTCAGGATTTGGGGCATGAATGAACATGCCCCCAGCATGCGTTTTAAGTCACTGGGTCTGGGACTCAAACCACGTCAAGTATGTGAGAATCCAGTGATGTAACCATTATACCATCTCCCGGTCCCAATGAAGGTAATGCACATGTCCCTGCCTTTTTTTTTTTTTTTTTCAGTTACAGGTGAGGACTAGAATCGCACAGTTAACCACTTGGGATACAACCTCCTTAACCATCATACCATCAGCTAGTTTAATACCAAATCGTTTCCAGAGCAATTTCTCAGTTGATTCTGAAACTGTACAGTGAATAGAGTTGTGATATATTAGTCTAATATATTTAAAACACTAGAGAAAATGATCATATACTACAAAATTATTCCGTATTGTTAGAAGAGATGAAATATCACAGAGTTTTTCTCAACATCCAAAGCTTCATTTATTGTCAAAGTCATGAAGGTAAAACTATTTCTGTCTTAGGGAAAAGAAATGATAAATAAAAATAGTGTTCCTCCATATTCTCCACTGCAAAATCCTAGAGAGAAGAAAAATGAACTCTTCCCTGCTGGCAGTCTGAGACTGTGGTGTGAATTGGCTGACCATAAATCCAAAATTTCTTAGAACTCCTGTGTTTTATTATAAAAGTCACAAAAATTTTGCATTCTTTTCTGTAGATTGTGTGCTAAAGGCAAACTATGATCAATTACTTTTAGTTTAATTAAATGGATAATTATGAAACGTGTCCAATGGATTTTTTTTAACATCAAAGATTGCTTACACAGAGCTTTATCCCCTTATAGTTAAACGTACTTACATTTTGGGAAGCACAGATAAAATCGAAAGCATAGAACTTTAAACAGTGATATCCCTGTAAGTCTTTCTTTCAGGGGGTCTAACAGTACCATAGTGCTAAAACTTGATGCTCTGTGAGTCTGACCCACAGGAGAAGCTTGTCAGTTCACACCTGGGGACCTTCCTAAATATGCCTGGCATGTGCTTGCCTATGATTCTGACTGAGCTGGCAGAGGCTGGGGTGGATCGCTGTGTCATGGCACTGTTGCAGGCTCTCTCTCTCTCTCTCTCTCTTCTCTATCTTTCTCACTCACGGAACAAATAAACTTAAGAAAAAAAAATACTTTCCTTGGTTCTTGGCTTCCCAAAGGATGGACATTATTAAAAACAAAAGTAATATCAGACTTTTCTTCCAGCACTGCTGAGAATCAGATATTGAACTACACAAGACAAATTATGATTCCTGGTAGTCTCATACGTAACACTGTCCTGTCACCCATCTCTACCCCTGTTAAGGTTCTTTCTTTTTTATTTTTGACTTTCTTTTACTTTTTTGTATAATTTTACTACATGACTATTTGTCTTATTAGAAATTCAATCTCTGCGACTAACAATATAGTCACATATCATATTTTAGCTACATTTTCCCCTAAAGATTTAGAACAATCTTTCTTCATACCAGAAACTCAGGAACTCTAAAGAATGTTTCAGAATAATTTTATTTCATCTTTCCATATTATTTTCCATTATTATCTAAGAATATGTTTTTGTAAAAGGAGGCTGTTAGGCTAAACATATACTCGCTGAGAAGAATGTGAATAACAGCCTTCTGGGAACCAGCAGTTAGCATAATAGCTATGTCGCTGGATTCCCACGTAGTCGACCGCGGTTCGTGTCCTGGACCCGGTGGCTTAAAACTCACGCCGGGTGCGTGTGCGTGCGTGCCCAAGATCCCGAGAGGAGAATGGAGGAGAAGGGATTGCGGCGTGACCATCCCCCCTGGGGGGTGATTTCTCGCTTTCTGTCTCTATGTCTCTCTCTGTCTGTCTGGCGAGCGCACGCGCCCTACAGTGAAAATCTCTCCAAAAAAAAAAAAAAAAAATAACAGCCTTCTGTTGGTGCTGGTAATTTATTTTTTTGCACTTTTTTCACCTGCAATTCTTTTCTGTTGAATATAGATGAAAAGACTGGAAGTGTGGGGGTAAGGAGGAATTAGATGGATATTATTTTCTGAGCACATTTATTATGCCAATAATGCAATTTAGTGCATCTTTGATGTTGTGCAATTAGGTATTAAAATTTCTCATAACTACAAATGTTCTCTGTCAATGGGGATTACTGTAGATAATTCCAGGTAACCTGGGAGTAATTTGGCTAGCTAAAAGGCCTAGGCCAATGCATAAAGCATTTGTTTTAGGGAAAAAAATAATAATTTGTTCCTCACATTAATCCTCTGCTTAACTATATTGGGAATTATAAACGCACATAAAACCTGACCGGGGGGGGGGCAGTTTTTCTTTTATGTTTTAAAATAAATATTTAAAGACACAACATGGTAACTAGAGAATAGTCTCCCTAGCTAAAATTGACTGATTTTTTTTTTTCCCTAAAGTGTTAGTTACCATTATATTAAGAGGTTTTTTATTTACTTTACGATGCTGGTTTAATGTAGATTACTAATCCTTAATTTCACTATTTACCCTTTTTATTTTTCTCTGATTTTCTTTATCTGATTTTCCTTTCTCTGATTTTCTTTCTTCACATCATGCTTTGAAAAGGATATTGGTGTGATTGGCAGTGCATCTATGGCAGTACAGTTTGATAGATTTTTCAAACAGATGGCAGTATCACTTTCCAAATGTGATCTGTGGATTTCTGATTATGTTCTTGGCATCCCTTTGACATTGTTTATGCTATTAAGAAAACTGTATCAAATTAGGACAAAAAGTCCAATCGATGATGTTAGAAGTAGAAAGGGGAGAGCAGAGAGAAGACGGATTTTAGGTAGCTATGTGCAGGATTATTCTTGTTTCTACTCACACTATACTATTTATCTATGATTCAATAAAAACTGAACTTACTGTCAGTTGACAAACCACAAGTGGTTCAGAAAGTGACATGAAATGGCATGAGCAATCATTGCCTTTGGATTATGTATACATTTATTTTAGGCATCTTTTTATGAAAGGTGTAACAACAGTGACACTAATTGCAGCTGAGACGAAAATAAAATCCATAGAAGACATACACATGAAGACAGTTGTAATAGCATAGTAATCAGAGAAAAATGTTTGCTTCATAATTTCCTAATCCAGGTAAAGAGTATACATATTTTCCTTAAACATTTTATTTTAATAGAGATAATACAGTCAATAAAAACATGTATTGAATTTTTAGAGTTAGTAGCTATTCTTTTGGAAATTGTTTATTCCAATTATGATCAAATACATATATGTTGTGTATTTTGTTTTATTTTGTTTTGATTGCTAGAGGGTGCATGCCCTAGCCAAAGAAGTGTGTGTGTGTGTTTGTGTGTATGTGTGTAAGAGAGAGAGAAAAAAAGAGAGAGAGAAAGCATCCTATATGGGGGTGTGGTCATGTTGCAATCCCTGGAGAAGTTCTCCATTTCTCCTTCCTGTCGTGATTTTGGCAGGCACACATACATGAGCCTGGCATGTTTTTCAGGCATTGAGGACTGGAAATCAAGCTGCATGGTGAGCCATAAAGATGTGATGCTCTTAACCACTAGACCACAGGGCCAGCCCTAAATTAAACACATTTAAGCTTATAAAATATGAAAGTTTTTAAAATCTAAACAATTAAGGCAAAATATTTGGTTACATATATTTCAGCAATACACATTAAAAGTAGTACACAGGTGCGAAATAGTGGCATAGTACTTAAGGTTCTGGACTCCCATATGGCTGACTGTGGTTTGAGTCCTGAACCTGGCAGCTTGAAGCTCACTCTTGGCATATATGTGTTCATCCCCAAAATCCTAGGAGGAGAATGGAGGAGAAGGGATTCTGGCATGACCATCCCCTCAGGGGTGATTTCTCACTTTCTCTATCTCTGTCTCTACAGCAACTATACATGCTCTACAGGAAAAATAAATTAATACACATGCATTCAAAGAAACAAAAAAACTAAAAGCACCACCCTGCACACCCAACCAGGTGATACTCACTTAGCATGGCGAATATCTGGCAGGGACCTCTCTAGAGCAATATTGTTGCTGACGAAAATATTGAAACCATTTTCTCTGTATGCTGAGTCATCATGGTCCTCTTCAGTAAGGGGATACGGCTTCCCATGCTCACCTTTCCCTAGGAAGAGAAATCAAAATGGGATTATCTTCTATAAAAGCCATGTCATTTGCAGAAGAGATATGAGGACTTAAATGTGTGTGTTTGCTTTGGTCTCCTATTGTTGTGCTCCACACAAGCCACTAACAGTAAAAAAATTTTTTATTTTAATTGGGACCAGCAGTTAGCGTAATGGCTATGTCGCTGGACTCGTACGTAGTTGACCGTGGTTCGCGTCCCGGACCCGGTGGCTTAAACTCACGTCGGGCACATGTACGTGCACGCCCAAGATCCCGAGAGGAGAATGGAGGAGAAGGGATTGTGGCGTAACCATCCCCTCTGGGGGGTAATTTCTCGCTTTCTATCTCTCTGTTTCTCTCTGTCTGTCTGGCGAGCACACGCGCCTTATGGCAAAAACCTCTCCAAAAAAAAAAAAGGTTTTTTTTTATTTAGAAAGCCGAAATAAATTCATAAAAATAAAACAACACAGAAGCAGAAAGCCTAATCACACCTTTAAGATAATACCACTGTAAAGATTTCCAGTGCATGTTTCTTCACATGTATATGCAGATTCCAATTCACATACTGTGGTATAATTTGATTTTTTTCCAAAAAACTTGCATATCTTCACATTTATTTATGTAGTTATTATTATACCATATTCCAATTTACACCAATCTATTGAAGCTATACTTTGAAAGATATTTCTAACTTTCTCTAATTTCTTATCATGATAAACTATATTGAAGTGAACATCTTTGCTTATATTTTGCCAGATATGTATTCTTTAAAGAGGAAGCATAAATTCATAGGAATAGAACTGATGAAACACCTTTAAAGTGAGTATGATAAGTTTCATATATATTCAGAAACATTGGATATTACCAAATTCCTTGGTAAATATATATATACATTACTCATACATTAATTTGTCTTTTCTTGATTTCTAAGAGTAATGGTGTGTGGTGTGTGTGTGTATATACATAATATATACATAAGCATTGTATAGATATATATGTGTGTGTGTATATATACACACATATATATACATATATGTGTGTATATATATATATATGTGTATATATATGTGTGTGTATATATATATATATATATATAATATTTAGTATATTTAGTTTGGCTATAGCATGCATACAAAGAGAGAGAGAGTAGAGAAATCACTCTACAGGAGGGATGACTATAACATAATCCCTTCTCCTCCATTCTCCTCTTCGGATTTTGGGCACACATGCACACACACTTGGAATGATTTTCAAGCCACTGGGTTGAGGACTTGAACTGTAAAGTTGGTCATGTAGGATCCAGTCACCTTAATATCCACATCACCTGCTCGACCCTATTCTGCTCACCCCTGTTTCTTACACTTTTATGATTTATACTTTATACATCATGAAATTATAGTTCAGGAGTTTAAAAATCTATATATTTACTAAATGTTGTTAACTGCAAATGTTGCAAATATTTTCTATGTTTGCATCATGGACTGTAATAACTTTTTCAATACAGATGATATTTTTTCTTTCATAGATTCTCATTTATGTACTATAATGAGAAAGTTCTTCCCTACTCCAATAGTATTTTTAATACATTCTTGAATTTAAGTTTTACAGCATTTTATTTTTGTTTTACCCACTAAAGTTTTAAACCACTTGAAATTTTTTCCAGTGTGAGAACTGAATTAAGAGTTATACTCTCCCCCTCCAAAATGGTCAGGTCATTGTAGAAATGTTTACTGAATAATTTGCCTTTTTCTTCCTTGACTTAAAACACCACATACAAAATTCTTTTACATTTATGTTTTTTTAGGAATTTCCATCACATTCCATCATTATGTAAACTCTAATTGGAAATTGTAATGTTAATGCATTTTAATATTTTGGCAAAAGCCATTTTTTACTCACCATCTTTTTGTAATTTACATTTAATCATCGTATGTTTTTATGGCATATGATTTAGTTCTAAAAGCATAAATGGATTGCATGTAAAGCGCATCAAAGATATTATTGTACATGATAATGTTCCAGTTTTGATTCTGTTAAATGTTTTTCTCAGACTAATATTGTATGTTTATTTTTCTATAGGAACTATTTAATAAAATGGCCTATCTGAATTTCAGTTTTGACATAATATTAAATTAACTGGTTCATTCTTAGAAAATTTGACATTTTTATGTAATAATTATTTTTCTTAGATTTTTTCCTCTTGAACCTCAGTAGATTGATACAATTTGCTTTATTTTAGTCCTACATATTTTTTGGGTGAATTTATCTAGTTATGTATTTTTCTTCATTACATTATGTGTAATGTCCTTTATTCCATGAAATTTTTCTACATGATGTGGACTAAAGCTTTTGATTTTTATACTTATTTGTTAATCACCTTACCAAAGTCACTATGTTTAATTTAAAAAACAATATTTAGTGTTTATTGCCTCTGCTTCTCCACATGACTAACATTATAAAAGTCTTATCTAATTCTAACACTAACAATAAATAACATTAGTGTCAACAGCCACTTACTCTGTAGTATTAACTTTGATGTAATTTTTGCTAAGTTTCCCAAATTTAAGCTAAGTATTAGATATATACCTGTAAGTGTGTACAAATGTGTTTATAACTAAACATGGTAAAGAGTTCTGAGGCCATCATATAGCATAGTGTTTACATCACTGGAATCCTACATAGCCAACTACAGTTCAAGTCCTGGACCTGGTTGCTTGAAACTCACACAAAGTGCATGTGCACGCATGCCCAAGATCCGGGGAAGAAATGGGAGGGGAAGGGATTGCGGTGTGGCCATCCCGCCTGGAGGGTGATTTCTCACTTTCTCTCTTACTGTATCTGTGTTTCTCTCTCTTCCCAGAGAGCACACACTGTAAGGCAAAACTCTACTAAAAGAAAAAAAAGTTATTTTAATGCTATTTGACAAAAGCTGTTTTTCATTGATAGAAATTACAGTTTATAAAATGCTTTCACAAAATATTTTAATATTTTTATATTTTCCACCTATTAATGTTAACATTTATTTTGCAATAATGATGTGCTTTTAATCACTGGGATTCAATTTCTTGTCAGCAAATGTAGTTCCTGTATCAATGATCTCATTTTTAAGAAAGAAGAGAGAGAGAGAAATAATTTTCTTTTCTAACTTCTTTCTTGTGCCCTGTTGACATTAACTTCAATAGAGCTGACAGCCAAGATTAAACATCTAGAAACTGATAAAAAAAAATTATATGCCAAGAAAGCAGACTAAAAATCTCCAATTTTAGGAGAAGAAAAACATTTTTAAGAATTTCACTTTTGGTCTCAAAAAACAAAAACAAACTACATCTTGCCTGTATCCCTGTTTGACTTGTTAGGAAAAAATGCCACTCACTGTTTTCCAGCCTAAAAGAAAACAAGTGACAGAAATTTTACTCATACAATAGCTAATTATTCAAAATCCACAGTGTACTAAGTACTGCTTTATGTCATTTTATATACATTTTTGACTCAACACAGCTACATGTGAAAGAACATTTTTCTACCCAAGTTACATACAAGTAAAAAAACCCTTGAGACTAATATTTTCACAAATAGCAATTAGCCATGAACTTGACGAAACATTCAAAAGACTTAAGTCTCTCTCCCATAAATGACCAAAGTAGCAACAACAGGTCTACTGACCTAATATAGTACCTAGTAACTAACTAGATTTATAAGTTATTCCATAAATCCTACTTAATACTAAAACTATAGTACAAAGTACTCTTTGCTTTCTTAAATAATTTTTTTAATTAATATGCTCTAAGTGAGGTTTTTTCAATAATTTTTGTATGAATATTTTTAATGCTGAGCTTTTAGATTCAACTACTTTTATGACTACAAATATAAAAATTTCAAGCTACATAGTCATAGAAACACCTGTCAATCAAAGGGGAATTAATTTTCTTTGTACAACAATTTCGTGCTCAGATTGATAAATCTCCTGAGACAAGGCTTTTCAAATGGGGGAGTCATTCTTTCAAGTTATAAAACTAAAGTTGTGAGTAACCAATTATGGCATACTAGAAATTTCTTCATTGCAGTTGTAAGAACAGGTTTTAAAATTTTATGTTCTTATGCACAGAGACAGCAGTTTTTACTGCAAATGCTACCAAAGCATCTTAAGTTTTAATACATACAACATCTCAGGGTCTGTAACATCTCATGTGGCTGGAAATGTCTTGTATAAAGAATAAAACAAAGTAAAGCCAGAAAACTTTCAGCAACAACAAAAAAGTATATGTTGAAAGTAAAATATTCAAAAGTTTTACAGTGGTTATTAGTCTATAGATCTATTTTAACACTTTTAAACATGTTAACTTACTGTTATCAATTGTAAAATCAAACCAGAGATTTTCACTGCGTGCTGTTTTTGTTTTTTAAGGTTTAGTACTTCCATGAATGAGAGAGAAAATACATCCCTAATAGACTCTTAAGATCACAACACAACCCTGACCTCCAGCCAGCTCTAGTCTTGGGCAGGTGCAAGCCTGGTGAACTCTTGGCAGTCTCTGCATTTGAAATGGGAACCTTCCTGTGCAGGATGGCTTCATAGACCATTTTATTTTATCTCTGTGTTATTGTGACTCACAAAGTACTTTCTTTAAATATGAGAAAGAATATAACCATCTATTTTTAAATGGTATGAGAGGCATAAGTGAGCTATTTTATTTTATTTTTATGTATTTATTTAGATTCTGCCATAGGACACCTACACTTACCAGAGAGAGGCAATGAGAGGCAATGAGAAGAAAGAAATCACCCCATAGGGGAAATGACCACACTATACTCCCTTCTCCACCATTCTCTTCTTGGGATTCTGGGCATACATGTATTTATGCCCAGCATTACTTTCAAGACACCAGTTTCAGGACTCAAACCATGGTTGACCATTGCCTTAATCACTAAGTTATCTGTTAGCCCTAAGTGGAGTATTTTAAATAATCAAAACATAAAAATGAAATGCTTTATATAAATTTG